GCACGTCATTTAGCAACTTGAACGCTTTTCTCTTCGGCTTTTCGGCTTTTCGGCTTTTCGGCTTTTTAGTTCTTTTAGTCCTTTTGGTTTTTCTCTCGGCCCGTCTTACGGATTCTTTTCGTCTTTCGGCTTTCTCGGCCCTTTTCGGTTTTTCAAAACCGCCTTCGCACGGCCACGGGCTCCTTTCTTTTCTAGCGATTTAACCGACCTCTCGGTACTTAAGTATTTGCACGTCATTTAGCAGCTTAAGCATTTGCAATACGCTTTCGGTTCTTTCGGCGCAATAGAACTCGTCGCTTTCGGCAATCAAACAAAGACTTAGCTTTTTAGAAGATCGAAATCTTATTCTTTAGCATGCTCTTCATAGCTCTTTCGATCAGCAAGCTTATTAATCTACTTGTTGTAGTGCAATTAATTTAAAGAGCTAAGTGCTCTTTCTTTTTAGTTAAGCCTTGAGTTTTTTTCGAGAGAACAAAGGTTTAAGGGGGTTTGATTCAAACGAAAAAGAGGATATTTTAGCGGATTTAAAACGCTTTTAAAAGCTACGATTAGTAGCTTCGGCGTGTTTTTTAGTTTTTTTTTAGCAATTCCATTCGTGAACTATGATTCACGACTGAATTTTTTCCTTTTTCTGTCAAATACTTTTTAAGAGAGCTAGGACAGCTTTTTAAAGGGGTAGTGTGACAGCCTGCTTTGTTACTTGCAGTCAGCTGATTACCTATTCAGGCCTAGCGCTTGTGGCTATGTATATAAACCTTCTTGAGCTCCCCGAGCTTCTTGTTTCCTCTCTTCACTTTGTATTTTAAGGTCAGAATTCATCAGTTCGTCACAAGCACGTTAATACGCATAAGTAAGCATTTATTTCATTTAAATATTTATATTTTGTTAATAATATAAAGTTACGCTATATAATAACCGTTTAGCAATTTCGTCGTTATTAGCAAAGTGTAACGCGGTCTTTATTAATGAAGTGCCGAGCTGCTAATTTAAAGAGTAAAAAAGCTTTCCTTGAATTGATAACTTAAGATTTAGCAAGCACGGTTTTAAAACGAATTAAATAAGAATTTATTTTATTATGCTTTTAATCAATTGAACTAATATTATAACTTTTAATTTTTATCTAATCAAGCTTCTTTACGTCTACTTTTCTTTTAATAAAAAAAAGTATTAGCGAGCTAAAATTAAAGCAAATACCGATAAGATTAAATACGAATTGCCGGGTCTAGCCGCTTAGTAGAATATAAAAAGATTCGAAAAGAATGTTGAATTTAAAGAAGCTGATTGCGATTTTATTTTATTTTAATACGTTATGCAATTGATTTAGAAAAAAGACGAGCTAGCTCCGAAATTGTTTTATAGCGTTAAGAATAGCGATACGGAATTGAGATCATTCCTAAACTTAATACTTAAGTTTATATAAAATAGAATTCACGATTAATTATAAATTTTGTATTCTATAAAAATACTTTTATTTATCTTATTTATTAATTATATTTATTAATAATACTTATTAATTATATTTATTTATTATATTTATTAATCATATTTATTAATTATATTTACTAATTATATTTACTAATTATATTTACTAATCATATTTACTAATCATATTTACTAATCGTCGGTTTCTTGTATAACGATACGCTAAGTCTTTTAAACGCATTTTATATACGCTAAGCTACTTTTTTCTTTTTTTTTTCGTATTTTTCGTATTCTTTTATTCTCCGCTTTTAACTTATGAACTATAGTTTACAAGTCCTTAACGCTTTTACTTTCGTATATATAAACTTTAATTACTTTCGACTTTTACACTCGATAATTATTGATTTTAAATTATTACTTTAAGATTCTCTTAAGCTCTTATATAAACCTTCGCGCTCTCGTAAGTTCTTTTAAGTAATCGCTTAAGGTCGTTACATCTTAAAGTTTTAAATTAAAAGAATTGATCGACTTGCTATATTTAAAATCGATATAAATATATTAATAAATTATTTTAATATTTAAATTTATAAATTATATTTAAAATTAATCATATATATATTTTATTTAATATAATAACGATTTT